GACTAAAACAGTATGAACTACCCTCACCACAGAACAGCGTTCCTTTCTTTCCTCTGTTGCTCTGTTTTTTGTAGTGTCCCCATTCCAAGTCCTGGTTGGGGTTAAGCAATGGTCCTCTTGAGGTTTGAAAGTTTGGAATGGGCAGTTACATCTGTAGTGAGCCGCCCCCCCCCCCCCCATTCTCTCCTTCTTCAGCTCTGAGATGGGGACACGCTTTCCCCACAGGCTCAGGACCGAGCCACAGGCTGGAACCAGCATGCTTGTCATGTGCCTCTGTTTCTATGGCAACGTTACATCACACTGTCAATAAAAAAAATGGAGGTACATGACAGTATGCTGAGCTCAGGGGTGGCCTGGCCATTTGGGAACTCGGGCACTGGGTCAATAGGAGGCCCCATGAGATGCCCCTGGTACCTTTTCATAGGCTTTTTTGGGTGTGGTTTGATTGTGGACGAGGACACAGGGGCCCCATGATCCCCTATTGCTCGGGGGCCCCATGAGTTGTCAGTCCGTCTCTGGCTGAGCTGCACCACCAGCAGACTTTACTGTACAAGAAATCAATAACTAAATTTTCTCCAGCCAAATCCCTGCTTCACTTTTGCAGAGGAGAGCACTTCTGAGAAAGATTGGCAGAACTGAAGCCAAGTGTGTCAATGACCGTGAGAACAGGACTGGAGGGGGGAAGAAAAACTGCTTCAGACTGTATGTGTGTGAAGAAAACTCGGATCCAGATCAGTCTGTAGGGAAGGGGTGGGGACAGAGGCGAGCAGCTGATACACTATATTGCCAAAGGTATTGGTCGGCCTGCCTTTATACGCACATGAACTTAAATGACATTCCAGTCTTAGTCCGTAGGGTTCAATATTGAGTTGGCCCACCCTTTGCAGCTATAACAGCTTCAACTCTTCTGGGAAGGCTGTCCGCAAGGTTTAGGAGTGTGTCTATGGGAATGTTTGACCATTCTTCCAGAAGCACATTTGTGAGGTCAGGCACTGATGTTGGATGAGAAGGCCTGGCTCACAGTCTCCGCTCTAATTCATCCCAAAGGTGTTCTATCTGGTTGAGCTCAGGATTCTGTGCAGACCAGCCACGTTCCTCCACCCCAAACTCACTCATCCATGTCTTTATGGACCTTGCTTTGTGCACTGGTGTGCAGTCATGTTGGAACAGTAGAGGCCATCCCCAAACTGTTCTCACAAAGTTGGGAGCATGAAATTGTATAAAATATCTTGATATGCTTATGCTCTAAGAGTTCCTTTCACTGGAACTAGAGGGCCAAGCCCAACCCCTGAAAAACAACCCCGCACCATAATCCCCCCTCCACCAAACTTTACACTTGGCACAATGCCGTCAGGCAAGTACTGTTCTCCTGGCAACAGCCAAACCCAGACATGTCCATCGGATTGCCAGACAGAGAAGCGTGATTGGTCATTCCAGAGAACACGTCTCCACTGCTCTAGAGTCCAGTGGTGGCGTGCTTTACACCACTGCATCCGACGCTTTGCATTGCACTTGGTGATGTAAGGCTTGGATGCAGCTGCTCGGCCATGGAAACCCATTCCATGAAGCTCTTTACGCACTGTTCTGCTTATCTGATGGCCATATGAAGTTTGGAGGTCTTTAGCTATTCACTCTGTAGACGGTTGACGACCTATGCGCACTGTGTGCTTCAGCATGCGCTGACCCTGCTTTGTCATTTTACATGGCCTACCACTTCATGGCTCAGTTGCTGCTGTTCCCAGTTGCTTCCACATTACCACGCTTGAATTCACTGAGCTCCTGAGAGCGACCCATTCTTTCACAAATGTTTGCAGAAGCAGTCTGCATGCCTAGGTGTTTGATTTTATACACCTGTGGCCATGGAGATGATTGGAACGCCTGAATCCAATGACTTGGAGGGGGGGTCCCAATACTTTTGGCAATATAGTGTGAAGTATAGGTAGTATAGTGTAAGGTTAGCACTGCACAGGCTCCAACTCACTCTGCAAGCACCAATCTAAAAGACTGGAGTGGTCTGCACATATATGGCAGCCTGAATCACTGGTCATGCGGAGGGCGCTGTAGTGGCACCATTTTTGAGTGTGATAGTTTGGAGCCTGTGCACCACATACTTTACACTACCTTGTGGCACCCGGGATAAACTTAGGGACACCTGTTTTCTGGGGACAGATCCCTCACTACAGGACTGTCCATGAGAAATGTGGGTGAATGACAATCTTGGTTTATAAGAAATGTAGATTTGCTGGATAGCACAGTAGCAGAAGATATATTAAAAGATAATTTCACATTTTGAACATGTTACACCTGTATTTAGGGTGTAACATGTTCCAGCAGCCCACCCTGACACCAGGAGTCCCCCTTCCCTGTGACAGACGGCAGGGGTTCCTTTCCCTGCAGCTGCTGTCACATTTCAAATTGATGCAGCAATCTGTGAATGAATAATAACATTTTCCCAAATGCTTTTGGGAGACTTCAGATGTGTTTTTGCAAAATTTAGCAGGGCTTGGATGTTTTTCTTCGTAAGAAAAGGCTTCTGTCTTCCACTCTACCCCATAGCCCAGACAGATGAAGAATACGGGAGATTGTTGTCACATGTACCACACACACCCAGTACTTGCCAGATATTCCTGCAGCTCCTTTAATGTTGCTGCAGACCTTTTGGCAGCCTCCCAGACAAGTTTTCCTCTCATCTTTATATCAATTTTGGAGGGACGTCCAATTCATGGTAATGTCACTGTTGCTCCATATTTACTCCACTTGATGATGACTGTCTTCACTGTGTTCTATGGTATATCTAATGCCTTGGAAATTCTTTTGTACCCTTCTTCTGACTGATACCTTTTAATAATGAGATCCCCTCTGATACTTTGGAAGCTCTCTGCGGACCATGGCTTTTGCTGTAGGATGTGACTAAGAAAATGACAAGAAAGACCAACTAGAACAGCTGAACTTTATTTGGAGTTAAACAGTGGCACTTTAAATGATGGCAGGTGTATACTGACTCCTATTTAACATGATTTTGAATGTGATTGCTTAATTCTGAACACCGCCACATCCCCAGTTATAAGAGGGTGTGCACACTTATGCAACCACATTATTTTAGTTTTTTATGTTTACTCAGTGCCACCTATCCGTGCCAGTCAGTGCCTCCTATCTATCAGTGCTGCCTATTAGTGCCGCCTATCAGTGCCATATGAGTGCTGCCTTTCAGTGCCCATCAGTGATGCATGTCAATGCCCACCAGTGCCACCTACCAGTGCCCCCTCATCAGTGCCCATCAGTGCCGCCTATCAGTGCCCATCACTGCAGCCTCATTGCCACACATCAGTGAAGGAGAAAAATCACTTATTTACATTTTATAACAGAAACGACTTTTGTTTTCAAAATTTTCAGTTGTTTTTGATTTGTTTAGCAAAAAAAAAAAAAAAAAAAAAAAAAACCCAGAGGTGATTAAATACCATCAAAAGAAAGCTCTATCTGTCTAAAAAAAAATTATAAAAATTTCATATGAGTACAATGTTGCATGACCGCGCAATTGTCATTCAGAATGCAACAACACTGAAAACTGAAAATTGGCCTGGGCAGGAAGGGGGTATAAGTGCCCGGTAGGCAAGTGGGTAATATATTTGCACTATGTATGGATCTGGATGTGCATTTGTCTGGGGCATAAAGAAATGATTTGCATAGCTCCGCCCACTGCCCTGCAATGAGCCATAATCCTGTACCTGCTGTGTGTTGGAATGACAAATTTTATACAAGGCTTTACTGCACAACAGTACCAAACATCACCAGTAGAGGCCCCCACAGCACCATCCTTTTATTACATGATTTTATCAGCCGGATGCGCAGATTCCATACATTTTACTGCTTTTCGTTTTTCCATAAATGACATCTTTTTATTTTCTTGTGCATATAAAAGCACACGGAATATGTACACATTTCTATTGAACGACCTGCTTTTCGATCATGGAAAGTGCTGTGGGGGATGCAGACCTATGTTTATTATGGGTTGCCATAGAGATGGCGGGCGTGTGTGAGGAGTGCGGCCTGTGCAGGCCCCGGATGAAGCGGTGTGTTCGGTGTCGGGGGGTGATGTACTGGTGAGAGCTCACACACGCCTCTTCTGTCTGCACACAGTGTACCTAGGGCAGCCGAGGACGTAGGAGTTCTCGGGGGTCAACGTTTATCCAGAGGTTCTTCCTGCCTGGAAAAGCTGTCAGTTCCCAGGGAGACATGTTATTACAGCGCCCACTGAGGGATTGCTCCCCTCAGACTGCCCTTGGGGGATTGCTCCCCTCAGACTGCCCGTGGGGGATTGCTCCCCTCAGACTGCCACTGCATGTGGGGGATTGCTCCCCTCAGACTGCCTTGGGGGATTGCTCCCCTCAGACTGCCGTGGGGGATTGCTCCCCTCAGGCCGCCCGTGGGGGATTGCTCCCCTCAGACTGCCCGTGGGGGCTTGCTGCTCCCTCAGGCTGCCCGTGGGAGATTGCTCCCCTCAGGCCGCCCGTGGGGATTGCTCCCCTCAGGCCGCCCGTGGGGGATTGCTCCCCTCAGACCGCCCGTGGGGGATTGCTCCCCTCAGGCCGCCCGTGGGGGATTGCTCCCCTCAGACCGCCCGTGGGGGCTATTGCTCGCCTCAGGCTGCCCGTGGGGGATTGCTCCCCTCAGACTGCCCGTGAGGGATTGCTCCCCTCAGACTGCCCGTGGGGGATTGCTCCCCTCAGACTGCCCGTGGGGGATTGCTCCCCTCAGACTGCCCGTGGGGGATTGCTCCCCTCAGACTGCCCATGGGGATTGCTCCCCTCAGGCCGCCCGTGGGGGATTGCTACCCTCGGGGGATTGCTCCCCTCACGCTGCCCGTGGGGGATTGCTCCCCTCAGACTGCCCGTGGGGGATTGCTCCCCTCAGACTGCCCGTGGGGGATTGCTCACCTCAGACTGCCCGTGGGGGATTGCTCCCCTCAGGCTGCCCGTGGGGGATTGCTCTCGGGGTATTGCTCCCCTCAGACTGCCCGTGGGGATTGCTCCCCTCAGACTGCCCGTGGGGGATTGCTACCCTCGGGGGATTGCTCCCCTCAGGCTGCCCGTGGGGGATTGCTACCCTCGGGGGATTGCTCCCCTCAGACTGCCCTTAGGGGCTCCCCTTAGACTGCCCGTGGGGGATTGCTCCCCTCAGACTGCCCGTGGGGGCTTGCTCCCCTCAGACTGCCCGTGGGGGATTGCTCCCCTCAGACTGCCCGTGGGGGATTGCTCCCCTCAGACTGCCCGTGGGGGATTGCTCCCCTCAGGCCGCCCGTGGGGGCTTGCTCCCCTCAGGCTGCCCGTGGGGCTTGCTCCCCTCAGGCCGCCCGTGGGGGCTTGCTCCCCTCAGGCCGCCCGTGGGGGCTTGCTCCCCTCAGGCCGCCCGTGGGGGATTGCTCCCCTCAGGCCGCCCGTGGGGGATTGCTCCCCTCAGGCCGCCCGTGGGGGATTGCTACCCTCGGGGGATTGCTCCCTCAGGCTGCCCGTGGGGGATTGCTCCCCTCAGGCTGCCCGTGGGGGATTGCTCCCCTCAGACTGCCCGTGGGGGATTGCTCCCCTCAGACGCCCGTGGGGGATTGCTCCCCTCAGACTGCCCGTGGGGGATTGCTACCCTCGGGGGATTGCTCCCTCAGACCGCCCGTGGGGGATTGCTCCCCTCAGGCCGCCCGTGGGGGATTGCTCCCCTCAGGCTGCGCCCGTGGGGGATTGCTCCCCTCAGGCCGCCCGTGGGGGATTGCTCCCCTCAGGCCGCCCGTGGGGGATTGCTCCCCTCAGGCCGCCCGTGGGGGATTGCTACCCTCGGGGGATTGCTCGCCTCAGGCTGCCCGTGGGGGATTGCTCCCCTCAGGCTGCCCGTGGGGGATTGCTCCCCTCAGGCTGCCCGTGGGGGATTGCTCCCCTCAGACTGCCCGTGGGGGATTGCTCCCCTCAGACTGCCCGTGGGGGATTGCTCCCCTCAGACTGCCCGTGGGGGATTGCTCCCCTCAGACTGCCCGTGGGGGATTGCTCCCCTCAGGCCGCCCGTGGGGGATTGCTCCCCTCAGACTGCCCGTGGGGGATTGCTACCCTCGGGGGATTGCTCGCCTCAGACCCGCCCGTGGGGGATTGCTCCCCTCAGGCCGCCCGTGGGGGATTGCTCCCCTCAGGCCGCCCGTGGGGGATTGCTCCCCTCAGGCCGCCCGTGGGGGATTGCTCCCCTCAGGCCGCCCGTGGGGGATTGCTACCCTCGGGGGATTGCTCCCTCAGGCTGCCCGTGGGGGATTGCTCCCCTCAGGCTGCCCGTGGGGGATTGCTCCCCTCAGGCTGCCCGTGGGGGATTGCTCCCCTCAGACTGCCCGTGGGGGATTGCTCCCCTCAGGCTGCCCGTGGGGGATTGCCCTCGGGGGATTGCTCCCCTCACGCTGCCCGTGGGGGATTGCTCCCCTCAGACTGCCCGTGGGTGATTGCTCCCCTCAGACTGCCCGTGGGGGATTGCTACCCTCGGGGGATTGCTCCCCTCAGGCTGCCCGTGGGGGATTGCTACCCTCGGGGGATTGCTCCCCTCACGCTGCCCGTGGGGATTGCTCCCCTCAGACTGCCCGTGGGGGATTGCTACCCTCGGGGGATTGCTCCCCTCAGGCTGCCCGTGGGGGATTGCTACCCTCGGGGGATTGCTCCCCTCACGCTGCCCGTGGGGGATTGCTCCCCTCAGACTGCCCGTGGGGGCTTGCTCCCCTCAGACTGCCCGTGGGGGCTTGCTCCCCTCAGACTGCCCGTGGGGGCTTGCTCCCCTCAGACTGCCCGTGGGGGCTTGCTCCCCTCAGACCGCCCGTGGGGGATTGCTCCCCTCAGGCCGCCCGTGGGGGATTGCTCCCCTCAGGCCGCCCGTGGGGGATTGCTCCCCTCAGGCCGCCCGTGGGGGATTGCTACCCTCGGGGGATTGCTCGCCTCAGGCTGCCCGTGGGGGATTGCTCCCCTCAGACTGCCCGTGAGGGATTGCTCCCCTCAGACTGCCCGTGGGGGATTGCTCCCCTCAGACTGCCCGTGGGGGATTGCTCCCCTCAGACTGCCCGTGGGGGATTGCTCCCCTCAGACTGCCCGTGGGGGATTGCTCCCCTCAGACTGCCCGTGAGGGATTGCTCCCCTCAGGCTGCCCGTGGGGGATTGCTACCCCGGGGGATTGCTCCCCTCACGCTGCCCGTGGGGGATTGCTCCCCTCAGACTGCCCGTGGGGGATTGCTCCCCTCAGACTGCCCGTGGGGGATTGCTCCCCTCAGGCTGCCCGTGGGGGATTGCTCTCGGGGGATTGCTCCCCTCACGCTGCCCGTGGGGGATTGCTCCCCTCAGACTGCCCGGGGGATTGCTCCCCTCAGACTGCCCGTGGGGGATTGCTCCCCTCAGACTGCCCGTGGGGGATTGACCCTGGGGGGATTGCTCCCCTCAGGCTGCCCGTGGGGGATTGCTACCCTCGGGGGATTGCTCCCCTCAGACTGCCCGTGGGGGCTTGCTCCCCTCAGACTGCCCGTGGGGGCTTGCTCCCCTCAGACTGCCCGTGGGGGATTGCTCCCCTCAGACTGCCCGTGGGGGATTGCTCCCCTCAGACGCCCGTGGGGGATTGCTCCCCTCAGACCGCCCGTGGGGGATTGCTCCCCTCAGACCGCCCGTGGGGGATTGCTCCCCTCACCGCCCGTGGGGGATTGCTCCCCTCAGACTGCATTGTGGGGGATTGCTCCCCTCAGACTGCCCGTGGGGGATTGCTCCCCTCAGACTGCCCGTGGGGGATTGCTCCCCTCAGACTGCCCGTGGGGGATTGCTCCCCTCAGGACTGCCCGTGGGGAATTGCTCCCCTCAGACTGCCCGTGGGGGATTTCTCCCCTCAGACTGCCCTGAAAGGGATTTCCCTCAGGGACTGCCCCTGAAAGGGATTTCCTCCCCTCAGACTGCCCTGAAAGGGATTTCTCCCCTCAGACTGCCCTGAAAGGGATTTCTCCCCTCAGACTGCCCTGAAAGGGATTTCTCCCCTCAGACTGCCCTGAAAGGGATTTCTCCCCTCAGACTGCCCTGAAAGGGATTTCTCCCCTCAGACTGCCCTGGGGATTTCTCCCCTCAGACTGCCCTGAAAGGGATTTCTCCCCTCAGACTGCCCTGAAAGGGATTTCTCCCCTCAGACTGCCCTGAAAGGGATTTCTCCCCTCAGACTGCCCTGAAAGGGATTTCTCCCCTCAGACTGCCCTGAAAGGGATTTCTCCCCTCAGACTGCCCTGAAAGGGATTTCTCCCCTCAGACTGCCCTGAAAGGGATTTCTCCCCTCAGACTGCCCTGAAAGGGATTTCTCCCCTCAGACTGCCCTGAAAGGGATTTCTCCCCTCAGACTGCCCTGAAAGGGATTTCTCCCCTCAGACTGCCCGGAAAGGGATTTCTCCCCTCAGACTGCCCGTGGGGGATTGCTCCCCTCAGACTGCCCGTAAAGGGATTTCTCCCCTCAGACTGCCCGTAAAGGGATTTCTCCCCTCAGACTGCCCGTGGGGGTTTGCTCCCCTCAGACTGCCCGTGGGGGTTTGCTCCCCTCAGACTGCCCGTGAGGGATTGCTCCCCTCAGACTGCCCGTGAGGGATTGCTCCCCTCAGACTGCCCTGGGGGGATTGCTCCCCTCAGACTGTCCGTGGGGGATTGCTCCCCTCAGACTGCCTGTGAGGGTCAGGATGGAATTATGTCTTCATCAGGGCCAGTTCACACCATGTGCATCTAGTGTGTTTTTTTTTTTTTTGCTGCATCAAAAACGCATTGATAGTAGGTTACATGGTTTTCAATGGCCCAGTTCACACCAGTGCCATCTGTTCCAGTGCTTTCCAGTTTCAGAAAGAAAAGTAGGACATGCTGCATTTTTTTCTGCACTCATCTGTACTGGAATGCAGTAAAATGCATCAAAAACACACCATAAACGCACTGGAATGTACCTAAAAGCACAAACGCATGTCATTTAAGTTGAAAAGGGGGGAAAAAAAGAACCAGAACGCATCAAAAACGCACCAGAACGTGTCAAAAACACGCATACAGAAACTCATTCAGACTGCGCTTCTATGGTGTGAACTGACCCT